CCATCACTCACCTGCTACTGTGCTGCCTGGTTGCTAACAGGTCACTGAGAAGCCATTGACCAGAACTGGAGTTTGGAGACCCCTGTCATGGATAGTATTTAGTATTTAGCATGAGGTTTATGCCACTTTGACAGATAGTAGATTCATGACCCTTTGGTGGATAGTGGTACCTTCATGAATGATAGATGTATTGCTTTATTGGTTTGGAAATTTCTCAAGGCGTTAGTATCCCATTTAATTTTTGTGTCCTGACGGGGTACCACCTGCTTAGGAAATAGTAAATGAATTGACTTCATTTTCACATAAAATTTAGGCTTTGAAAGGACCTGGTATTAAATTTATGCATTTATGGATTAATGAATTAACTTGGGCAAAATTGGCATCAAAATAGTATCTTTCTATTTGAGAACATGGTGTCCTTTTCTGTTTGTTCAGACCTATTTTGTGTTTTTAGGAGTATTCTGAAGTTCTTAGTTTGCATTGTAGTCTTTAGAATTATAGTTTTCTTTGTCCTTGTTAGTGATTTTTGTCCTGTATTCTACTTTGTCCAGGTGATATCAAGATTAAGGCTCTTCTGTTTTATTATATTTTGGTATAATTCTGCTATCTTTTATTTTTAATGTCTGAATCACTTTTAGATATGTGCTTTGTATGGGACATAGGGATGAATTTTGCTTTTTAACCCAATCTGAAAGTCATTTTCTTTTAATAGGTGGTCATTTACATTTATTAATAAACCTGCCACATTTAGGCTTATTTCTATTAAATAGCTTTCAGATGTTTATCGTGTGTGTATGTGTGTGTGTGTGTGTGTGAGTTATGCTTATTTATAGCTTTCTGATGATTCCTATATATGTATACAGTCCTTTTCTTTGTGCCCATCTTCTTTTATCTTTTTTGGAAGGTTGGATTTTTCATTTCATTTGTTACTTTTAAATAAAAATAATTATTTTAGCCCTAGATACTACCTTTGTACCATATCATAAACAATACTAAAGTTGTCTTATCAATTCTTTCTTCTTACTGTATCATTTAGTTTTAGTTATAAGTGTTCTTCACTGTATTTGGTTTTATATTAATTTGTGAGCTTGAAGTTGTTTCTGTTACTTCCAGCTAATACTTAAGATGTTAAGGACTTTAAACTTTCTTCTTTTTTTTTTTTTGTTTTGCATGTTACTTCTATATTCCCAAAGTTTATATCATTTATATACTCTTTTCCCAGTTTTATCCCCAGTTAAAAAATAGACATTACTTTTTAGAGCAGTTTTAGATGCATAGTAAAATTAAAAGTAGAGTTCTCAGGTATCCTCCTTGTTATTAAAGTCACCCACCAGCATGATAAATTTGTAAATTATTTATTAATAATTAATAAAGCTCTGACTCATTATCTCCAAAACTCTTGGTGTTGAACATTTTATGAATTGACAAATGTATAATGACATGTATCCAACATTACAGTATCATAAGCATAGTTTCCCTGCCCTGAAAATCCTCTGTGTTCTTATTCATCTCTTTTCCTCTTAAACCCTGTCACATATTTTTATAATCTCGACAGTTTTACTTTTGTCCAGGTTGTAATGCAGTTGGAATTACTACAGTATGTACTCTTTGGAGATTGACTTCTTTTACTTAGTACTATGCGTTCTTTCCCTCCATGTCTTTCCCTGGCTTGGCAGCTCTTTTTTTATTTTTTATTTTTGTAAGCATTAAAATGAGATTCCGTTGTTTTGATGCACAACAGTTATTTATCCATTCATCTACTGAAAGACATCTTGGCTGTTTTGACAGTTACAAATGAAGCTGCTATAAATGTCCATGTTCAGGGTTTTGTGTGGATGTAAGTTTTTCACTCCTTCGAGTACATCCTAGTACTGGATCATATGGGAGATACCTTTCTGGTTTTGTAAGAAACTGCCTAACTATCTTCTAAAGTGGCTGCACTGTTTTGCTTTCCCACCAACAAGGAATGAGAGTCCCTCACTAGAATGTGATGTTACCAGTGTTGAGATTTTCACTAGTATAATAGGTATGTAGTGACAGCTCACTGTTGTTTATTTTTCCCAGAGCTGGTAACTGAACCCAGGGCTTTTGCACTGAGCTACATTCCTTAGCCCTTTCATGTTTTAAAATTTTGAGATGGGATCTTGTTAAGTCACTGAATTGCCTAGGCTGGGCTCAAGTTTGCCATCCTCCTGTTTCAGCCTCCCACAGTTCTGGGATTGTAGGCATGACCTACCACACCTAATAGATGTTTTAATTTATAGTTCCCTAGTCAGAAATGATGTTAAGCATCTTATATGCTTATTTGTTATCTGTATATCTTCTTTGATGAAATGTCTGTTCTGATGTTTTTGCCTAGTTTTAAAATCAGTTCTGTTCTTTTTTTTTTTTTTAAGTTTTTTATGTAGTTGTCTCACTATGTAGTTGAGACTGAACTGGAACTCACTATATAGCCCAGGCTGGTCTTGAACTCACAGCCGTCCTCCTGCCTCATCCTCTCAAGTGCTGGGATTACAGGCGTGTGCCACGACGCCTGGTTATCAATTCTTTTCTTAATGTTGATATTTTAGGTAATAGTCCTTTCTAGATGTCTTTGCAAATACTTTCTTTCAGTCTGTGGCTTGCGTTCCTTTTGATATCCTTGACTTTTAGTTACAGACCTATTGTTAGATGTGTTTCCTTCTCACCTCTAGTTCTTAATAAAAGATTCTATGGGTTTTGTTGTTATTGAAACTTAATCCTCTACCTCATTACTCAGGCTCAGGGGACAGACAATTTTAAGGTCTTATAGGCTTGTAATACTTTGTGGTCTATAAATGAAAGACAAAGTACTAAGCTCACATTTTTTCCCTTTGAGTATCTAAAAAATATTACTTCCTTCTTTTCTAGCATAAAATGTTGAAGTTTAAGAAAAATCTTTTTCTTTCCCTTACGGGTGACATGGCTTTATGTGTTTTGTTTTGTTTTAAGTTTTGTAACTGATAGAATATAAAATTTGTACATTATTGATGGGTCAGAATGTAATGTTTCAATACATGTATACATATTTAAGTGTAATACATATGTAATGCTTAAGTCAGGCTGAACATACCTCCTCATTTATCAGTTTTTTTTGGGGGGGCACTAATGGAAATTGAACTAATGGCTTTACATTGAGTCACATCCTTAAGCCCCTTTAAAAGTTTTGTTGTTGTTGTTGTTTTTAAATTTTCAAAAAAGGCTCTCCATAAGTTGCCCAGGCTGGTGTTTTACCTTGCTGTCTGCCTGCCTTATTTAGATTCCTAAGTAGCTAGATTACAGGTGTCATTTCTTGGTGTCCAAACATTCATAATCCTCCTAGCTTTCTGAAATGTACAGTACATTGTTGTTACCTATAGTCATCTTACAGTGCACTAAACAACACAGCAGAACTTTTTGTGCTTGTTCATCTATAACTTTCCATGTTTATTTCTGTTTCCTATGTTTATATTAATTATATTTCCTGGGACTAGTCTTTGGATTTTAAGATGCTCCTGTAAAAGGAGTAGGGTAATCCGCAATCAGTTTCCCCTTGGTTGTCATCAGTGCATTTGTGTAGCTGTTTCTGTCTTTCAGAGGTGAGTCTTGTTCAAGCAATTTTCTTCTCCAGCACAGTGTTTCTGAGAGCTTTGTAGGCCTATTGTTTCACTCCCAGATACATATTTTCTCTTTATATAGTACTTTCTGTAATCTGTTTCCTTTGGAACTTTGGCATCTCTTTCCTCCTCTTATATCTGATTCTTCTTTCTCCTATCTCTCTTGTTTCTGTCCTGCAAATTTTTGCCTTAACATGAGATTCTATTCTTTGGCAAGGGGTTCTTGCTGACCACTTGTGAGGTGCCTGAAAGTTTAGAGCTTCACAGTCTGTTGGATGGAATATATAGGTTTCATTTACCTGGAAATGGAGCCTATGAAACCTTTCTGCTTTTCTCAAATTGTTCTCAGATCTGATCTGATTTTCTCTAATGATTAAATCTGTTCCTTTTGAGGGATTCGCTAGTGACGTTTGGGTTCTGAGTTCCCTTTCACTTCCCTTTGATCTCTTCTGCTCAGCTGCTGATCCTGCGTTGTGGACAATTTAGACACATTCTCTTATAATCTGAGACTTGTGGGAATTATCCTTTACCTACTTTTGTTGAAGATGTAGTCATTAAATTCTTCTGATTATCCTAATTGGTATTTTTGGGGTATTAAAAAAACTATACTGCCACCACAATTGTAAGACTAACTGATTTTACTAGTGTAATTATGACTAGTAGAATAGGAGTTTGAATTTTTTCAGTCTTTCTATTTGATAGATTTAGGACTACTTCATATAAAATTGTGTATCTTAACACCTCATAAAGGATCTTTTGAACATCTGTTCAGAAATATAGAGAAGTCATATATAAATGTTGTATATAAGTGTAGGATGTAATTTTTGTCATTGACATTCTTTTTGACTTTAAATGTTAATATGCATAGTTTGCCTCACTGCAATATGAATTGTGTATAGTCTCCTCATAGAAATTTTAGATTAAAAAAAAAGGAATTTTAGATTAACTATAGTATAGTACATGAAGTTATATCTAAATAAATAATTTTTTTTAATAAATGATTTTATTACAAATGTGAAAAAGCCACTGAACTTTATTGAAATTAAACAGTTAAAAATCCCTTGCTTGATGGAAATGAATATTGTTCAGAGTAAAGCTAAGAGAAAAAGAATTAAGTAATTTTATTATTTTCATATATAATACATACACTTAGTCTTTTGATGTTTTTTGTGTAAGAAATGTGAAAATTTAGTGTTGAGATTATTTGTAATTTTAGGCTTGGCTAATTTGTCTTCTGTGTAGCATGTGCTAGGTAATCAGTTTTACTGTGAGCATATCGAAAAACAGTATTAATAGTTTGTTAATTTTATTAGTAAAGATTATAAAATCTATTGGATCTAACTTCAGACTTTGGAGATGCAAAATAAAATTATCCATTTTTCATAGGAACTGAAGTTAAAAGATGAAGAATGTGAAAGGCTTTCAAAAGTTCGAGATCAACTTGGACAGGAATTGGAAGAACTCACAGCTAGTCTGTTTGAGGTTGGTCTATTTATGTCTTGGCCAACAGCAACATCTCAATTTTTATATACTGGTAGACTTATTTTTTGAAATAATCTTTAAAAAAGGATATATGTAGCTTTATCTATGTTCTTAAGTCCTTTCAGCAAAAAAATAGGAATAAAACTGCTAAGCAATATAGAATCTATAACTTAAAAAGATGTAAAGGAAAATCTGATAGGGTGTTTTGAGGAATATTAGAAGGCATATCTCAGTATCTCTTCCTGCCAGTAGGACCAAAATTTCTACCTAATCAGACTGGTGATTCTGAATAGGTGGTCACTAGCACAGAGAAACAGAAGAGACAGATGTGTGTGTGAGAGAGAACAGGGAGAGAGAGGCAGGGGCACTCATTATCGTAAAAAATTGGCTCATGTAATTATGGATGCTGGCAAGTCCCAGGAGCTGCAGGGTGAATTGAGAAGCTGGAGACAGAATGGTGTAGTTCCTGTCTGAATCTGAAGGCCTGAAAACCAGCAAGAGCTGATGTTTCAGTTAAAATCCGAAGGCAGAAGGAATTTTATTAAGGTAGTCCTTTTTGTTCTATTTAGGCCTTAAGCTGATTGGATGAGACCTACCCACATTCTAAAGGACACTGCATCATTCAGTCTATTCCTTTAAATGCTACTCTCAGTTAAAAACACATTCACGGAAATAGTAGCATTTGACTAAGTATAAAATATAAAATATTAAGGGAAAAATTCACCACCTTTTGTTATTTTAACTTATGCACCATCTATTTCAGTTTTGGAGGTTGCTATAAAAGAAAAATACGCAGAAAGAAACTTTTCTCTCTGTAGCAGGATACAGAGGGCCAGAAATGCAGTTTGTACAATGAGTAAAGTACATCTTAAAAAAAAAACCCAACAAACAGTTCTGGGTCTCTAACCTATCCCTAATGCAATAGAGGTTGAAAGCCTTGACATTGAATGCTCTCTGGGAAATAACGTACATTAATAAAGAAAATTGTTCTCAAAAAAAGTTTTTCTGTAATCTTAATAGTGCCTTCACAGTCTTAGTTTACTGTTGTCTTATGAAAATATTTTTGCCTGCATTTTATGTGTGTATAACTTTTGAAAGTCAAAATAACTCAGAATCTATTTGTGTACACCTTTGGTAAACTTAACATGTGATTTCAAATTAGGAGTCTGTTATTGTATATGATGAATAATCTTGAATATAATTATATTTTGCATGTAGCAAAATTGAGTGTTTTAAGAGTATCAAATAGGGCTGGGGATTTAGTTCAGTGGCACCGTGTGTGCCTGCCTTGCAAGCTCAAGGTCCTGAGTTCGATCCCTGGTACCACCAAAAAAAAAAAAAAAAAAAAAAAAAAAAAAAAAAAAAAAAAAAAAAAAAAAAAAAAAAAAAAAAAAAAAAAAAAAAAAAAAAAGTATCAAATACATGCAAGAATTTCAGGGTTAATATTTCTTGTAACAGTTCCAGTTTTGAGATAACATAAAATTTAAGTAAGTTAAAAGAGTGCTTTATGAAGTAGTTTGCACTTAATATGGAAAAAAAGGTAGTCTTAAAAGATCATTTTTATGTTTTATCAGCTACTTTTAGTACATTTCTATGACGTGCCTTATATTCTCTCAACAGTGCTGTAAGTTTTATAAGCATAGCTTGTTATAATTTTATACGTGAAGAAATACGAGGCATAGGAAGGCTAATAAGCTATGCTGATTCTCAGATTCATGACTGATTCTTGCTTTAGGTTCTGTGAAAGTCATAACTGGAACTTCTTTTTGTCCTAAGCCATAGTAAGGGAATCATTATGAGATATCTCTTTTTTTCATCCCACATTCAAATTTTCAGTAAAGTCTTATACTCCCTCCAGACTATAAGGCAGACCACTTTCAAAGCTACTGTCATTTCTTAGCTAGACCAGTAGATGCCAAGTACTTTGATTCTGTACTCTGGCAGTGATAGGAAAATTTGAGCATATACCTAATACTTATTGACAGCATGTATTTACAAATTGTATGCATATACCAACATATGTGTATTTAAAACATGAAAGTTTTAAAAGATGATACATTAATAAAATACTTAAAAATTTTATAATACAAAAAGTTTATTCTTCCTGAAACATTCATTATATATGTATTTTAATATATATTTAGTGAGGACTATGAATATGTTATCCTTTTTTGAAAATGTTATTCTAACAATTTATGGCTCTGATAGTCCAGTCTGTTTCATTTTTAAAATGTTCAAAATGTTCTAACTGGCTGTTAGAGAAAGCAATTTATAATAACACTGAGATTCAATCTTTTCCCAGAACTAATAGCTGTCATCAAGAAATCAAATAGTAACATGCTGGTGAGGCTGCAGGGAGAAAGGAACCCTTCTACACTGTTTGTGGAAATGTAAATTAGTACTATCGAAATCAGTATGGAGATCCCTCAAAAAGCCAGAACTAGAAATTTCATTTGACCCAGCTAATCCTCTTCTCCAGATTCCCTTTTAGGTATCTTCTTGAAAAAGTTAAAGTCATCACACTACAGTGATACAGGCATACCCATGTTTGTAGCAGCACAATTCATAATAGCTAAATCTTGGAAGCAGCTTGTAGTCCATTGACAGATGAATGGGTGAAGAAAATGTGATATTTACACACAATGGAATATTGTACTGCTCTGCCACAAAGAAAGATAAATTTGAATCATTTGTAGGAAAATGGATACACCTTGAGACCATAATGTTAAGTGAAATAAATCAGATGCACACACATAAATATCATTTAAATATTAGAGAGAGCAAAATAAAATATAGATAATGGGAAGTAAGGAGAGATCTTTCTCAAATGGGAAAGGGAGTTCAAGCGATGGAAGGAAGGGGTTGGGGAAGAGAAAAGAGATGAAGAAAGGAATTAAGATGTGTTATATACACATAAGGACTGTAAACATTATGTACTGCAAATATGTACTAATAAAAAATAGGGATATGCACCAACTGAAAAAATTAAATGTAATATTGCTGGTACTCATAGATATACTGATCCATATGTAAGATGTATATCTTTTCCTGTTGTTAGTAATACACCAAATTTCAGTTCAGTTGCAAATTGTGGAAAGATTTTTCCAGAAAATCTTCTTGTAAATTTTTGTTCTCTAATACTGTACTAGCAAATGATATTTGCAAATTAGTCAGAGGATGTTGGAGATGTGATATTTTAACATTATTTAAAGAAAACCCAGAGACTATATCCCCTTCTTTTAAATTACTACTAACCAGGTAGGGAAAAAATTGTTTTCAAGGTTTATAAGTATATGCATGTAAATGCATAGATCAGAAGCCTGCAGATTATAGCCTCTGGATGAAAGGAGACTATTTCCTTTTGTCCAGCCTGTGAGATAGTAATGATTTTTGTATTTTTAAATGATTAGGGGAAAATAAACAGTATTTTGTGACATATGAAAATTGCATATAATTTTAAACACTAATACATAAATTAAAAGAAATGTAATTAGAGTAACTATAATCACAAATTTGTTAATGGAAACAACACAGAAGGAAGTAAAATCTGATGTCGGTTATATAAAATGAGAATGTGTGAAGAAAGCAAATTGTGTCTGCATGCAGTTGAAGTTATTATCAATTTAAAAGAGTAAGATAACAAGAAAATGTTCAGTGTAAACCCTATGGTAACATGAAGAGGAAGAAGAAGAAAGTACACTAGAAACACAAAAATCCCTTCTACACTGTTGGTGTGAAGTAAACTAATACAGTTACTATGGAAACCAGTATAGTGATTCTAGAAATTCCATTTGACCCAATTATTACCCTTCTAGGTATCTTCCTAAAAGAGTTAAAGACATCATACTACAGTGATATACAATATTCATACCCCTGTTGATAGCAGCACAACTCATAGTATCTAAATCTTGGAAGCAAGATGCCCATCTTGACATCAGCAGATAAGTGGATAAAGAAATAGTGGTATGTCTTTACAATGGAGAACTACACAGCCATACAGGATAAATTTGAGTCATATGTACCTTGAGGCCATAATGCTAAGTAAATAAATGAGACACAGAAGGTTAAATATCGCATGGTTTCTCTATATAAGAAACCTGAAGTATAAAAAATTTAAAGTAAGATTATAGGAATCAGGGAGGTAGATCTTTTGCAGATGTGAAGGAGTTCTAGGGATGGAGAGGAGATGGGGAAATGAAAGCAGAAGTAAAAAGGATTAAGATGAGTTATGTATGTGTACCAACTCCCCATGATGAATGTACTCATTGTATATTGAAAATGTATTAATAAAGGATCAAGATGCCACACATGCACACATGCATGCCGGTTCAACACAATGAATACATTTATTTTGTGTCGCAAACATAACACTAATTTAAAAATTAAAAAAAAACCCACATTTCTCCAGGCTTGGGATGGCAGTGGACATGTTGGAGGAAAAGATTGGCAACTTCAGGCTAAAGGAAAAAGAACTTGAGAGAGTTTGGGGCACTTAAACAGAGAAAATGAAGAATTGCTGCATAGTGCTGGACAAGGACAGGGTGGTGGACAAGATCCAGACTCACATGTATGACTTCAAGATTCTCCAGATTAAAATTAAATCCCTGGTGTAGAGCAAGGTAAATGATGGTTCAGGAGCTGAAAGAGCCAACAGGAGCACCCTGACAGCAAGGCACCCAGGCAGGGCTGACCTGGAGACAGTGGTGTTGGAGCTGTGCAAGATGGTGCAGAGCATGCTATTCAAAGTTACAGCCCATGAGGATGGGTGGAAGAAGCCTGTAACGCAGCTGAGAAAGGACCTGGGACCAAGCTAGTCCCAAAGAAAGAGGTGGTAGAGATCTGGCAAGCTGTCAGGAGGCTGATGATGGAGGGCCTTTGACTTGACCAGGCTTTAGAAGGTGGTGTAGTCAGGATCTGCAAGGGAATAGATTTCACATAGGACATATAGTTTATAGGATTATTTTATAATATTCACCCCAGAAATCAAGTGCAGAAGATTG